GTGCCTGGAATTTTACACAGTATTACATTAAACTTATCTATTTCTATGCAGACAAGCACCATGCCAATTTACAGGTCAGTTTTGTGGAGAGGTGGGCTCACTTACAGTAGAATGCATATTTTTCAAGGTTTCCAAGGTTTGATCACAAAAAACACCTATAATAAAATAATACGTTTAGTAGTCATGCCATACTCTGATCTCCCTAATGTATCTCCATGGACACAATCAGGTGCTGCACTTGTACCTTTAAGGTTTGTATGAAAAGTATTATTCAAAATTAGTGTTCACTTTATAATTTTGTGTTATTCATGGCGACATAACTTCTTGATCAGACTGAGGGAAGCAAGGCTGTTAGTCTGAGTAAAGCTAAGGTGAGTACATTTACTGTTCTGAACAGTGGTAGGCAAGCTCTTTAACCACAAAGCCACTGCTGTCCTAATTTCCACGAGTGGTGCCAAAGATTTACCAACACAAAACGAAAGGTTCACTAAACTGTCTCCTCTATAGACACATTAGTGATTCATTTAGAAAACACATTTCCACTATTTGAGCCTATGCAGCCTGCTTTCTCTTCAAAAGGCCACAGTGGAAATTGCGAGTCCTTGATATTTTCTCTAATTTCCCACAGGGCTGCATCTTTGTTGAAAGCACCTGTTCTCCACTGGAACAATGAGCCACATTTTGATCCAGGACAAACTCTCCAAGGGACCCACAGCCTTCAAGCCTCTACTCGGCAGTATCTAGTGTCCACTGTCACTTGTGAATGACTACCAAGACCTGTACTAACAAACATGTCCAGACGATTAATCAAGGAAGAATTTAAATGCAATTGAAAGTTCTGTGTTTGCCACAAAAGTCTATTGTAATATGTTAACATTAAAGGGCCCATATTATACTGTTTCAGATCTATGTTATAATGTTGTTTCGTCATCACAAACAGACCTGGAGTTGTTTTTTGTTTCATGCACACAAACCCTGCAAATTTAAGATGAGCTTTTGTCTCAAACTGAAAATAATCTGGTCCACCTAGTGATGTCATGTGCTCCACTGTTTTTTAATGCCATGCACCTTCACTAGAATCATTTGGATAATTTCAGCCCTGGATATGCCAGTCTCTGAACTAAAGGTAAAACGTAGCTGTTAACTTGAAAACTACCACTTCATGACATCACAAGGTGGAACAGAGCATTTTGAACTGGGGTTATATAGTTATATAGTTACTCTATTATGGCAGGTATGGCAATGTCACTGCATTATCAAAATACTTGGTCCTCAAATATACTGTATATTCACCAAACTATTGTGGATTATTAGTAATCCAATACCAAAAAAAAAAAAAAAAAACATTTAAAGTACAATCAATTACCTTCTAAATAATACAATACTACTCTTTAGGTGGATGTTTTGCACGATATGCAGGACTTAGCTGGAGCAGAGCATCTAAGCCGGGGTGAGCTCCAACCTGCCACAGGCTCTGGTCCCAATCCAGGAGCTGTACTGAGGGATAAGACCTTTTTACAGGATCAAGTGCAGAAATCCACTCAGGCCATCCCCTTAGAGCAGATAAGATGCTCTTCAGGGTGGCTCCAGAGAATTTATAGACATTTTAAATAGCCTTAGCCCAAGACACTGACGGTTGCCTGGAGGAGTGGGGATGAGATCTGCCTCTTGGCTCACCTCATAACCCTGTCATTAGATGGTTTTAGTGCATAAAGCTTGGGCCGGTCCTGCTGTTGTTCAGCTTTGTTTGCTCTTTAGGACAGCACAGTGAGATCATCTGTCAGCACACTTTTCTCTCCATCTGTTTCTAAAGTGGATTGGTGCATTTTACAAAAAGCTCTTGCAGTGTATAGACCTAGTTTTTCATTTAAACTACAGTGTATATGCCAACTTTAAAGGACCCATGTTACGCTACTTTCTGATTTATGTTTTCATGTTGTTTCCTCATCTCAAACATACCTGGAGTTGTGTTTGGTTTCATTCATGTTAAACACAAAAGTCTTTAGGCTGAGTTCTCTCAAACTGCAAACACTCTGTTCCACCTTGTGATGTCATATGGTAATACAGGAAGTGCTCCACTGTGATGTAAACAACATACATCATATCTCTACTGAACTAAAGGACAAAGGTAGCTGTTAACTTGAAAACTACCACTTGGTGACATCACAAGGTGGAACTTTAAGATAGAGATGTAGATAAACCAATAATAAAGAATTACTCAAAACACTCAAATTACACAAAACAACTCCAGGTATATTTTTGATTAAGTTACAAAACTATAACATGGCTTAAAGCAAAAGCTAAACGTTTGCATAAACCTTTCACTGTTTTATGCAATCAAACATTTTGATTAAATTGCTGATAATGTCAATATTTGTTGTTGTCTTTTGGTGGAATTTGAAATTGTGTAAATGGTACAAATTTAAAGTATACACAAGAACCGATGTAACTTTTCAGGTTGAAGGTCCAAAAATCGACTGCTCAGTGCCTTTAACATATTCATGTTGCATTTATTCAATTACTGGTGTTTTTATCACTCAAAAGTATCTTCAAAAGCTTGCCTTTTTACTGCAAGCATGGTTGCCCTTCCGCAGATCTGATCTCTAACACAACATGATGGTGTCACATATTTGTCTCCATGGAGGTAAATCAGTTTAATGGCACATTGTGGAACATTTCAGGAAAATAATAACATCTCCATGGAAACAAACAGGTGGAAGACTCTGTTCTTTCAGTTTTTTTCAAGTATGTAATCCATGTAGCATCTGACTATGAATTAAATGTTGCTAATAGCCAATTTATGTATTAAAGCAAACAATTAAATACAGTCTCTTACAACCACAGTGTCACAATATCTGGCATTATAACTGTCTGGTATAAGAGTATGTTTAGAGGGCTACAGTAAACAGACGATGTCATGTGTTTAGGCGGCAGACAGGGCTGTGTTAACAAAGAGCACTCTGGGTAATTGTCTGTGATGTCCAGTGTTTTTGTGAAATGACATGGTGCACAGAGTGTTTGTGTGTGTCTAATGAAGACCTGTGTAAACCACTGCTTACGCTCCTTGTGTCCAGTACATAGACTATACAGGATATATATATATATTTATATGTGGTCCAGGACTGCATCTGAAGAGCATCAGAAATGGAATACAATAAAAGGAGTATTTATTTATATTCAAGGACATTCTCTTTGTTTGTGTTGTGTAAAATCACATTCACATCAGTTTGGCAGCTTTTGATACCTTGGAGATTTTGTCACACATTTAAATTCTAGCTTTAAGCTGGATCCCACACTATTTAAAACTGTATAACTGCAAGTAATTTTACCATCTATTTAGCTTTCTTCCACCTTAAGGCTATTCTAATATGCCAGCTATTAAACACTGCCATACTGCAATAGATATGTTTTGTTTTTGTTGTTGTTTTGTTCTCTCAACAATTGCATATTATCTAAAGAGCACTTACACATGTGTAATTTTTCAGGTTGGGGGTTCATTTTGCCTGTAATGTTCTACCATATGGTGTTAAATTGCATTTATTTAATTATGTGTGTTTTTGTTGCTGAAAAATACTTTAAAACACATTCTTGTATTCTTATTGTGAGCAGAGTCACTTTTTCACAGATCCCCCTAATAAATTGGCCTGGTGGCATCTCCAGCTTGTTTCCATGGAGATTAATAAATTAAATGTCAAACTCTGTAACACTGCAGGTAAAGCAATAACATCTCCATGTAGATAAGCAACTAGCAGTCCCTCTACAAGAAAAGTTACACAGTGCAGCTTTAAAGATGAAGTCATTTTATGGACCATATTATAGATATTGATTCACACAGTTTATTTAAGCACCTATATGTTGCCACAACCTGTATGCTTATTCTTTGGGCTGTTCCACTCTCAAATCTATAGGTCTATATGAGCCGTTACACAAGTTACACATCGCAAAGTCAAATAAGAGCCGTGCACAGAGCAGAGAGGGCAAACCAGGACCTATATCTATAAAATCCCCCAAACATGACTGCTTATCTTGTGCTCATGAACTGTGCAAATGCAACTATGAGGATTAGAAAGCACAACACACATAGTATATCATCATATAAGGAGGTGTCTGAGAGATGAGATAAGGGGCTTAGGTGAAGGGGGGGGTGCCTATGGGGTGTTGGTCTGACTGACATGGTCGCTTTGGGGGTAATCCTGCTAATCCTTCGCTCGCTAGGGGTGTGGAGGGACCCAGCAACCTTTGACCCCAATGTGCACATCCTCACACCCTTCCTCTATCTTCACATGCCCCGAACTTGCACTGGCATTTCAGAAATCTTCAGGAGTGCAGCCCAAAACACATCAGCGGTTATCCAGTGATTACTATTATGGATAAAAAATTAAAAAAAAGAATAGGTTTAGGTTAGTGCAATGTGTTCATGTTGTTTGTGGTGATTCAATCAACAGTCAGGTTCGAGATTAGTCAAGTCCACAAAAGTTATCAGGATTTCATGCAATTATAATGCATTGCTTTTATGGTTGGATTGATTGATTTATCTAAATTCTGATAAAATACAAATTTATTTATTTATTTATTTATTTATTAATGTTTATCACAATTTTACTTGCCTTTATGGGAAATCGTTTTTGCTTGGCTGTGCTCTCAATCAAAAGTGTGATACATTTAGCATAAATTAAAATATAGACTGCTGATAACTAAATGTTTAGCAGTGGTAGCACATGCCATAGAGATGTATTTTTGTTTTTTAAATACAAAATTGACTGTAAAACTGTACTGTAGTAGGTAGGTACATATTGTTTCTTCTTTCTTTTATATGCTTTTAGGCTATTTCTTGCCCCATTTATTTTGACATGTTTTGAAACAGCTTGTCGGAACTGCTTTTAATGTGAAAAGGTAAACCGGAACTCAGTCTGTCTCCTGTGCGCTCTTGACGCTGGTGCGTGTCCAATGAAGATAATTTGGTGCCTCTGTGCGCCGCGCTCTAAGACAGATCCAGCAAGTGATGGGAGCGTGAACTCTGGCGCCCAACGCTCAGGTGCACTTTCCAAACCAACAGTTCTCTTCTTACAGTGCAGTTAAATTGGACCTCACTCTGTATTGTCTGTAAGTCGTTAACTTTCTTAGAAGTAAATCATGTGTTACTAGTCGAGATTTGTCCTGGATTTACGCGATGGCAAAGGAGTAAATCTCAATGGCAAAGATGCTTGGGGACTGGGATGTAACTTTGACACCGTGGTCTTATGGAATATAGCCCGATCTTAAGCAGTCTACATGTTGTGCCATCACCCCACGTGAAAAACAAACTTTTCGTCTTTTGCATCATGCTGTCCCTTTGGGTGTACATGATCTACTGTTGCGTGGGTTACTGCTCAACGGTGCCCAGCCTGAGGTACGTGAACAGGCACGGGAACGACATGGATGTAGTGGAGAGTCTCGGCGCGTCCAGGGACTTGCTGAACAATAATGAGAACGATCTGGACAGCCGAGGGGAAGAGTGGGACGAGCCGAGGAGCGAGAGCAAGGCGCTGGATGATAATGCCATGACAGGTTTCCTCAATGAGACTAAGAAGTTGCCCCAGGCCATCATCATCGGGGTGAAGAAAGGAGGGACCCGCGCGCTGCTCGAGTTTCTGCGCCTGCATCCGGACGTGAGAGCCGTAGGAGCAGAGCCGCACTTCTTTGACCGCAACTACGTCAAGGGACTCGAGTGGTACAGGTACATAAACGCATCTTGACCAGTCCGCATAAACAAACAGCACAATGTAAAACCAACAAGTAAAGGTACACTGTGTAACTTTCTGTTGGTGGCACGTTGCCTGCATGATTCAATCCGTGATATTCTGCATGGATTTATTTATGACATATTGCGAAAGATTTTTGTTAAATTTCTATGGAAATGAGAAGGCCAAGTAAGAGTCAGGTTTGTGGAGATGCAAACCAAAATGAAAAAAAAAAAGAAAAAAAGAAAAGAAAATGTTACAGACTGTGGCTTTAAGTACAAATCCAAGTAGTCCAATATCAATTTATCAAGCTTAATGAATGTTTTTTTGTTAAGTGGCCTATATTTTTTTTTCAATTCCAGCAATTGTAGAATTAAAATAAGCTGTAAAACAAAAGTAGGCCTACCACATAATTAATCAAGATTTAACCAGAAAGGAATATCCTCTCTATAAGTGCAATGCAGCCCACACTTTACATTTCTTTCTTTTTTTACCTGTATAAAACAAAGCGTGAGTGTTTGAAGATTTGCGATTTGCGATATCCTGATTATGCAATTAAAGCATTCACATAAAACCAGGAGAGCTTTAAGTTTATTATAAGATTTTTTTTTCTAAGCTCCTGAAACTTAATCGGTGATTCATCAATGACAAAACAGCTTATGTGCGCTTTGGAGCATATGATGTAGTAAGCTCTTGTCATTATTAAATATTTGTTAAGAATAAAAAGCTTGTAGCCTACTTTTATTTAAATACTGCAGACCTCAGATGTCTACCACAGGATCTGCTGTAATTGCAGTTACACAGGCATGTCCAAACTAGCCCACATTTGAGTAAAAAGCAAAAATTTGCATTAACATTGATTTCTTTTATTTAGACAACCTTCACCTTGTCCATCTATCTCCCCTGACTAATGTTCTGATAGATTACCTTTTGCCCCCGAGATACCAGCTGTTTCCTTTCATAACTTATTCTGCACATCTGTACAAGTCCGTTATTGCAAACTGAAGATTTGTCATAGCACTTCAGGATGATTTTAACTGGGAAGTAACGTCATCATGTAAACTTTAGATAAAAGCTGATGCCGTGACTTAAAGTGTCCAATGATCTGAGCAGAAGGATTAGAAGTCAAGTCAGAGGGATCTAGACAGTGTTTCAGGGCTGGCTCCAGTGCACCTCAACAGGTGAAGCCAAGCATGGTTCAAAGACCTTCTCGCTTAAGCTTCTTCAAGAATTTCCTTGGTTTATTTAGGATATTTTTTGATGATCAGTCATTGCAAAATCCCTTGTGTCTTTTATATGATCTACTAAATTTACATTGTAGTATCAAGGAGGGCTTTGCAATTAATGGCATTTTAATCTAGATTGAGATTCATTGAGAGAGAGTCATTACAAATCATCAAAGATCAGATTGAGTTTCAAAAGGGTCTACAGCCAATACTCTGTTCGTACAAGCTTGTGGTTTGGAGCAAAGTTCAGATTTTGGAGGAAGAAATGTGACTGCTTTTGTGCAAAATAGCAGTGATTAAAAGTCTAGATAAAATGAAAATGAAATCGAGATTGACCAGTACGAGGAACATGTAGAAATGTGATGAATCGTATTGGCATATCACCCCACCAGCCCTAGTATCAAGTAGTGGTGGTTGTATGATTGACACATTAATTGATAGGTTTAACTTGTGGTTAGGAGCAGTGTTGGAATGTACAAAGTAAAAGTAGAAAAGTACTGCACTTAGGTAACAATTTTAGGTGTCTGTACTTCATTTAATTTGATTTTAAATTGGATATTTTTTACATTTACTTCACTATATCCGAGAGCATATCTATTCTACAGCATTTTCATTTCTGAACTGGATTGAAAGTATTTTTATTATAGTTTTAGACCTGCTGAAAAGTCTGAGGGTTTATTTTTAAAACATCTGTAGTTTGAGCAAACAAAAAATATACACATAAAAACAGCAAGGGAAAAAAATAATTTCAAGTTTTTGGCAAACAAACATCAGCACAAATCTTCAAATCAAAATCAAAATCAGTCGATTTGATGCTTTATAAGACCACAAAATATGCACAAAATCCTTTTTGCTTTTTAAGTACATTTTGAAACAGGTACTTTAAGTTACATTTACTTGAGTATTTCTTTGCCCTGGTATCTTTTACTTAAGTAACAAAACTGAGTACTTCTTCCACCACTGGTTAGAAGTAAAAATACCTTTAACATTCTGCTTGTAAAATAATGGCTGGCTTAGTAGAACTGATATGGCCAATTAAAACCACTTGGCTTGAGTTGTCCCAGTGAGAGGGCAGTGCCACAGACTGACCTGGTATAAAAGAGCAGCGTGACACAACCAACTCCTAATGACCGTTAAGTGAAAAAACTATTCAGGCTTAAAGATTCAGCACACCATTGTAGCACATTGGATTTTCTCTAAATTCTCATAGTCATAATTTCATTTTTAAGTCTTTCTAAGAGCTGAACTCACATGCCCATTGATGTCTGTATTGCTATGTTCTAGGAAGTATTTTAGGGCAGAAGGGCACTGAGGAAGAGTTCAGTTACTGGCACTTGAAAGTTAAGAAGATCCCATTTTATTAATGGTATTTTGGTGGTCAGTTCTTCTCTCGATTTTGATTCTAAAGGCTTGATATTTTAGCCAGGCTGGCGCCACGTAGTGCCTCCACTCGATTTCATTTCTTTCCAGCTACTAGGTCAGGAATCACAATACAATAGACGATTTGCAAAAACCCCGGAAGTGCAAGTTCAACAATTCCCAAGATCGAGGATTTAAAGCCGGAATAAAGAGAATGTTTGGTGAATTTTATCAAGGGGAAAGACAAATAGCAGTGATTGGTTAAATGATAAAAAGTACCCGCCTACCGTCGAGTGAACAAAATCTAAGGCTAAGAGGTCAGACGGTTTGTACGAAGTGAAATGAAGTAAAACTGGCTGATGAATCAGGCTATTGATATTTGGTACCACAATGAGAATTTGTATGCAATCAGATGCCATTTTCAACACAAAATACACGGTTTCTTTAATATTTTCATGTGTTTTTTAATACAGACCAAAACCATTATGAAATTATTCAGAAAATATTCAAATCTGTATCAATATAAATTTGTTTGTTATTGATTTTTTGACAACCCTAATCGTGGTACATGTCTTGAAACAAATAATTGGTGATTGAAAGTGGCCAAAGGGGAATATATGGGAAGATTGTTCTCCAGTTGTAAACTATTTCAATGCTCACTACTGATTTTGAAATTGTCCTGTCACTGGGGTAGCTAGTGACATGAAAAGTACTTAATGAAGTACTTTTAATTTTTTATTAATTAATAAAAAAATTTTTAACTTCAATTATTCTGTAATATTCCATTATTATTACTTTTGTATAGTTGTCACTGTGTCAGGCCAATGGTCTCGGTGTGAAAGCATGCAAAAGAACCCCGAACTTCATTGTTGGAGCTCAAATGCACTGGCTGACACATTACATCTGTGTTTTGTCAACTTTACCCCATGTTTGAGCACAGCTCCTCTGGACAAACAGCAGACAGTCAGTGGTGGGTGGGCTGCTGGACTCCTGCGGGGGTATTAAGTCGTCCTCACACACATTTATCTGCTGTGATTGGTGTGTCCATGCCTCTGGAGGTCTTCTCTGTTCATCCTTATGGAGCGCTCCGGAGAGAGGAGGCCCCAGCACAGCAGGACAGCTTGGACAATACAGACATTTTCTGCCACGTAGGATCAAAACAGAGGCCAATGTGCATGCTCAAGACACAAAAGTCAAGCCTGAAGTCGTGGGAACTGTTTCTTTACTTTATTATACTTTTGAACATTTTTGGGGAGATTTCCTTTCAACTATGGTTCTTGCTTTGAGGATGAGTGTCTTTGTAATATTTTGATATCAGCGAGGATATGCTGCATTATTGGAATAAGAATAGTGCAATTTGTTTTTAGTGTGCCTGCTTGGGGTATTTTGGACATGTCATTTTGTGTGGCTTTGTGAAACATTTATTCTTGCAGGATTGGAATTCAACATGCATGTGTTCACTAGTTGTACATAAAAACCTGTGACCGTTTCATTTTTTTTAAAAAGCAGAAGTGGTAAAATGCACTTCTTATCAGAGCGTTTTTTAGACTTCATACTTTACACATGGTGTTTATATTTTACAGTATGACAGTGCTCTTATTTGAGTAAAAGTTTTTGTTGCTCTTTCCACTGTAAGTCTAGTGGAAAAAGATATTTCAGTATTAATTTACCTTTCTTCCCACTTTGAGTACGTCCAAAATGCCAATGTAATCCCGTTGGAGCCCAGTGGGACGTTAGTGTTTCCCAGTGGCAGATAGAGGGCAGTAAATTTAAAACCACTCTTTAGAAAGTGCAACAGTATTATGGAGTGGGATAAAAGAGGATGCTGGAGGACCCCTGAGGACTGCATTAACCCCAACAATAAAAGAGCAGACAATTAGTGTGAAACATGTTTTTTCTGCCTCCACTTTGTATGCAAATGTGCTCCGAAGGGTGAAAGTGCCCTTTGACAAAGCCCAGCAGGAGCTCATCAGAAAGAGGCATTCAGTGGAATCTTCCCCCAAAAAGATTTGCTTTCCTTCAGCTCCCCCAAAAGTCGACTTCATGGATTCTTGTGTTCAAAGTTGCACGTCCCTCTTGTAGGTGCAGCTCAGTCCCATAGATGTGTGTTAGATGTTTAGGTGCTTTGCGTACTCAACACTTCTTTGTAAAGTGACAGAGATAGATAGATTGTGACAGGGAAAAGAGAACATTTTAGGTGTATGTATCAATTTATTCCAACAATTTCACATTAGTCATTAGTGCACATGTGGTAATAGTTCCGTACTGTAAATGTAAAGCCCAAAGGTTCACATATTTTTTGAGCAAACAACCTTAAAAAATGGTGCAGTACTCATACTTCAAACCTGGTGGACATGCTCTTGATATAGTTTTCAAATGTCAGGGCATTGCTTCTGGACAGCACTCTACAA